TATTGACAAATTATGTTTTTTCTACTACAAATACTCGAAAATAAGTCTATATCAAACAATTTTTCTTTGTTCTCTTAGCAAAAAGTGTTAATTTAACAAATATGTTATTAAGATATTGTTCTTTGTTTCCTTTTTTTTTTGTTTTGTGAAATTAAAACTATATTATGGCAATAAATCACTTTTATTCTTAAAAAATATCTATTTTGTAAATATTGCAGATTATTTTTACCAGTACCGGGATGCTGGTGTACAAAATCAACAACTATTTTAGTGAGTTATTTTGTTTCAAAATATACCCCCTATAATTGACCCGCAGGATAATATACAGACCTGATAAAGATCAGTTCTGTGAAGCTAGCCCCCCGAAATTTGAAAATTGACCACCCTCAGAAACTAAAATATTTAAAAAAATATTAATGGCCCAGTGCCCGCTGGCCCCCCAAAAGTTATTATTTTTTTAAGAACTGACTGCATCATAACATTAACCAATTTTTGACCACGTTTTACCACCCCTTAAATTTTTTTAACATCCCTTAAAAAAATTTAAAGGGGGTAAATTATAGAAAAACAAGAGTTCTAGGATGAATTCCAACTTGTGTCAGAAAGACACAATACGACATAATAAATATCCATAAAGGTTTAAAATTATGTTTTGATGTTTGACCACCCCCTAAAATAATTTTAATGTGCTCAAGTAATATGAAAATTCGAAAAATATAATTTGGAAATCGAATTTCGGCTAAGAAAAAAGTAAAAAAAAATGGGTTTAGAAAAAAGACCCATAACGATTAGGAATTATGTTTTGATGTTTGACCACCCCCTAAAATAATTTTAATGTTCCCTAGTAGAGTGAAAATTCGAAAAATAAAATTTGGAAATCGAATTTTGGCTTAGAAAAAAAGTTCAAAGACATAAGTTTACAATAAAAATCCATAACGATGTAGAATTATGTTTTGACGTCCTAAAATATGTTCAATGTACCCAAATAGTGTGAAAAGTCGAAAACTTCAATTTGAAAATCGAATTTCGGCTTGTTAAAATTGGTAAAATGACATAAGTGCACAGTAAAGATCAATAACGATTTAGAATTATGTTTTGACATTTGACCACTCTCAAAAATAATTTTATCCTGTCAAAGTAGAAAATTCTAAAAATTAAATTTGGAAAACATGTCCTTTGACTATTTTTTCCAAGTGGAAATTCGATTATATTATATTATTATATTATTTTTTGAATTTTCACATTACTTGGGAACATTAAAATTATTTTAGGGGGTGGTCAAACGTCGAAACATAATTTTAAACCTTTATGGATATTTATTATGTCCTATTGTGTCTTTCTGACCATTGATCTATCTTACAAAGTTGAAACTCATTCTAGAACTCTTGTTTTTCTATAGTTTACCCCCTTTAAATTATTTTAAGGGGCGTTAACAAAATATAAGGGGTGGTCAAACATGGTCAAAAATTGGTTAATCCGATGGTGCAGTATTTTTAAAAAATATTAACTTCCGGGGGCCAGCGGGCACTCGGCCATTAATATACTTTTTTTTTAAATATTCAGGTTTCTGAGGGTGGTTATAAAAAGTTAGTGGGTGGTCAAACATGTTCAAGAGGTGATTAAACATGGTCAATAGGTGATTAAACGTATGCTGCCATAAAACTAAAATTTTCGAATTTCGAGGGGCCAGCTTCATAGAGCTATAAAGATCAGCGAATTTAGCTTTATCCGAATATTTTACATTGATTGTGCACTCTTCTATATTGTCGCTATAAAAACCATCGTATTCTTTGATTTCCGAGTTGGCAAGTGTAAAGTAATTTGCATCGTCCTTAAAATTGACTCATTTGAAAAATGTATCCGCGTTAGTTGATTGCAGTATCTTCGAATTGGTGCTAATGGATTTGGAGTATATCGAGAGGCAAAACTTCTCGATATTTTTTACCAGTCAGTGCTAATTACTACGATACTGTACTATTTAAGGGGCGAGATTCACGCGCCAATTTTTTAACGGGAACCCCCAGTCTTTCTTTTGCGCTTCTTACCAACCTTTCTGCTCTTTCTCGGGTAAAAATGTTTGGTTTTTCACTTTTTGAAGGTTTTAGACAAGGTATTCCTTGTTTATATTCTGCTATAGCACGGAAAATACGTATACACGAAATAAAAATGGGTACCATTTTAGCTTCAGGAGCCCGTTCAACCAAATTATAAATCCATTTTTTTATTTCTAGCATATATATTTTAATGCAACCAATGTATACAAAAAAAATTGATTTGTTCAACTTATTTCTAGAAAATAGGCCTTTTTGATATTTTATTATCATTTATCATTAGTATCATTATGATCATTTTTAAACCCTAATATTTTGTGCTAAGACTATTAAAACATTAAATAAAATAACTGACTAGTTCCTAAAAACAATGGTATCCTAACTTTGTTAGGCTTTATTATCAGGACTGATTGAACATTCTTCCACTGAGAGATAAAATAAAGTTTTTAGGTCTCAGTTTAAGGGGGTGGGTGGCTCAGTGGTAGAGTCTCTACCTCCGGATCCAAGGGTCACAGGTTCGAATCCTACCGTTGGCCGGGATTTTATCATTTAATTTAAAAATTTAAAATTAATTCTAATGCCTTGGTAGAATTCCCCACTCGACCACTCACTGTTGTGTTCTAATTAACAGTGCTGTTCCTAAAGTACCGCTGGAAAACAGTACCAGAGCCTACACAGAACACGAGGCAAAATAACCTTAGCAGTTGAAGCCGATGACACACAAAAACCAGTCCCAGTTAAATTTTAAATACTTAATAATTGTTTTAATAGAATACCCAAAAATTATGAAACGTAAAAAATTTCTGAGTAATGGAAATGCAAAACAATATCAATTTGTAATTCATTAAACAAACTAAACATTATCAGAATCATGTCATGAGTAGTTATTTAAAATTAATGTATTTCGATTTTGATGATATTGGGAATTTCAATGCCGCCTGTTGTTATGTGTTAAACTATCTCCAAAACAAGTCGCTTGACATTTGACTCTCATCTGACGATTATTATCAAATATTTTAATAAAATTCTTTTAAAAATATTGTGCAATATTTATAACTGACGCATATATTTGATCAGTTATTTGTGTACTAATTTGAAATTTTCGGCCAAGGCTAAGCCGATGACAAGATCATTTGGCCAAAGCACAGGGTAGGTGCCAAGGATTTAAAAATAATAAAAAAAAATCTCCTTAAATGGAAATGCCCCGCAAAACGTCTTCTCACCGGTAATAACCAACAGGAGTCAGTTTTCGACATAGGCGCACTCTCATTTTCCACTCCAACTATTTGCTCATTTACATTTAGTCTCTACACTTATTAGTGCACAAAAAACAAAATTAGATTCCGAAGTGCATCAATATATGTTGTTTAAACTTCTTAGGAGATAGCTCTTCTGATAGCTAAACAAGATTCGGAGCAAAAGTTTTGATATTCCACACCTATATTTTTTGGCTATCCAAGGGTATATAATATGCTTTTATACCTGATATATTTGAATTTCTATATAGTTTCAATATCCTTCAGGGTAGAAAGAAAGTTCGACCATATTCAAGATGTCATAGCTAAATTCCATTTTGGGACATCTCATCTAGAAATATCACATAACTTTTGCGACTACATAAATAAAGACTAAAAAACATTAAGAACAATACGTTCCAAAACGATGTCCTCAAGCACTTTCTTCTCTTGGAAAAAGTGTTCTTCTGGTATTATGCAGATGTTGATTCCGAATATCCAGGAAGACTTTTTGGTTTTTAAGACTGATGAAACTGCAAAGGGTGATTTCCAGTTCCTCATGCTAAAACAGTTCTGATCAAAAAGGTTCAACATTAACTTATGAGTAGCTGAATTGCCTCTAAGAACGCTAGTTCATATTTGTGTGAAACTAAGTTTTCAGTAATGATTGCCATCAATGCAAACAACGGAACCGTTTTTTATATTCATATATTTGTATGCCTTTAAGATTTCTCTGATATCCTCCTTAATCACGATTCTTTGCAACAATGGATCTTAAAATCAAAATTGTATTGTTGTTTGGGTTACATCTAATAGAAAAGAGGACAGATTCCTGAATGTCCTAGTGATCATCAGGGAGAGGAAGGTCCTATGCATTGGAGCAATTCTGAGTACTGAAAACGTATCGTTTCCTAAAGAATTGGAAACGGATAGAGACTGGTATTTTGTTACCGTTTTCGTAGACATCGTTGAAGAATACGTTTTTTCAGTGTGTGATGTAAGTGTACTAGATGCAAGGAAACTGATTCATATATTACTGCTCTGTACCCAGGAATGGGACGGATATATGGTTTTTATTTGCATCGGCTATAACGACCACATAAGGCCCCGAGGATTCCAGCTTGATGACGCATCCTGTCAAGGATTCGTTGGATATCGGACAAACAATTGATGGTGTGAAAATCTCATTCCCATGCAGTCTACTTCAGTCTGTTTAGTGAGACTGATTTCTAGGAGATCTACGTTTGTTGGGATATTTTTAAATAATAAATTGTGTTTCTTTGTGGAAAAAGTAATCAATCTAGCTAAACAGATAAGTCTCCTTATTTGAAAAGCCGAATTTCAAAAAAGTATCATCTCTTGCTATTTAAAAAGTTTGGTTAAAATAACGTTAATAGGGAGAGAGTTGGCATGATAAAACCAAATTTGTAGTAGGCTGGGAATGGAGTTATGAGAGGGGTGCAACCTATGGCCAAAATATGTTGTGCAAACCACCATTTTAGTATAGCAGCTAAGCAGTAGCAGCTAAGTAGTAGCAGCTAAGTAGTAGCAGCTAAGTAGTAGGTAAATAGTATAGTAGCCCCTTTGTAACATTATTTGTTAATGTTTCTGGTAGCCTTTTTATTTCCATTTCTCTTCGGAATTTTACATTATTTTCCAAATGTATCTTTATAATGTTTTTGTTTGCGATCAATAACATATTTTTTTATTTCAGAAACTGGTAAACGATGTACAACACCAAACGGCGAATACGCAACATGCGTGTCTATATACAGTTGTAACCATCTTCTACAAGCAGTACAAACTAGAGATGAAACGCAACTAAGGTTTCTACAAAAGTCGCAATGTACTGGTTATAGCAATGGTCCTATAGTATGCTGTGGACGAGAAAGTAACTATGTGACAACGGGAAATCAAGCAACTAACGGAAGGGTACTTTTGAATAATGGTGATACGCCGAATAAGAATTTCAGAAGGAATCCCAATATTCCAAATAGGGAATCATGTGGTCATGACGTGAGTATCACTATATATTTTAAACAAAGACAAATAATTATAGAGGTATTTCTATTTTATCCATAATTCCAAAACTATTTGTATTTATACTAAGAGTTGAAATGTTTTACACGCTTAAAAACTAAATAATGTGATTCTTATGAAGGTCGCCCGATAGCAACTAATCTGGAAATCTATTATAATTTCATATAGAGAAGGTTTAACAGGTTAATTTTTACTTAGGAAACTTCAAAATCGATATATCTTTCGTTACTTTATTTACTGGAATTAATCATATTTGAGTTATGGCCTGTCATCATGTCATAGTGCATAATTTCGTATCTAGTGACGTTTTTGTCCTGTCCAATGTTTTTTAAAGTTCACATATTGGACCTCTCTTGTTATCATTATTTAATGATGTTACGCCCTACTTTCTTGTTACCTTGTATAAATTAATGTTTCTTATATAGTTCCTAGATAGTTAATTATCTGGGCATTATTTTTGATTAAAGAAACCAAGACAGGTTAGATACCACGATATTTTTTAATAAACACATAACTTCCGTAGTATGAAAAACCCTTACAATGAATGACCTTATCAAGAGACATACTATGTACGTGAATGACACAAAGGCAATCCTGATACCTTATAATGTCCTGGTAAAAAGTGTCCTGGAATACTGTTCTATTAGTTACTTACACCTGTCATAACAGTAGAATTATAAAGGTGCAAAGTAAATTCGTAAAATACTTGCTCTTTAAACACCGATTCAATGTCACAATACATGTTATCAAAGTTATAGCTTTACGGCATATAGCGCGTCTAACAAAAGGAAAAACAGGTCAAATTATTAGGTAGTTTTATCACGTGCATATCACAACTTAAAAAAATTCAATTGGTTCCTGTCCGACCCATAAAGAAAAGGGAATGAATTAAAAGGAAATAATGTACTGGCTGATTAAAAGAAATTCTATAAACAGCAAATTGCTTCTCTATAAGCTAATCCTAAAACCTAACACCAAAAGATATACACAAAGATTTTTTTGTCAATTCAATCCAGCTCTTTGTTAACAAAAACCAAGTAGGAAAACTCAAGAGAACCAAATCGTTTGAGTTAAGCTAATAGTAAAAAAATAGAGAAAAGTTTGATAAAAAAACTATCGAAAAACTAGTGGAAAACTAGTGAAAAGCCTAGTGAAAAATCTGGTGAAAAAACTAGTGAAAACTAGTAAAAAATAGTAAAAAAACAGTAAAAAGCTAGTGAAAAATAGTAAAAAAACTAGTAAAAAAACTATTAAAAAACTATTGAAAAACCTAGTGAAAGAACTAGTGAAAAAACTAATGGAAAAACTGGTCAAAAAATTAGTGAAAAAACTAGTGAAAAAAAAAACAAGTGAAAACCCTAGGGCAAAAACTAGTGTAAAAACTAGTAAAAAACTATTGCAAAAACAAAAAACTACTGATAGAACTAATGAAAAACGTCTTAAAATATATGATTTTGCTTTAATTATATTTTATATGTAATCTCTACATTTATTCTATTTTAGTTTTCAGAGAGAATTTTCGGAGGTGAAGCAACAGCAATCAATGAATTTCCATGGATGGCATTATTGCAGTATACCAACAACAGTGGATACAGAAGATGGGCGTGTGCTGGCACCCTTATAAATAACAGATATGTTTTAACGGCTGCTCATTGCGTCACAGGAGATATTTTATCAAAAGTTGGGCGATTGTAAGTATATAATATTGTCTTCCTTTAAATAGCAGACCAATAAAAAAACAATAAATTTTTATCTATATATTTTTTTCTATATAAATGTGTAAATATACTGTACTATCTGTCAATTTCTAAATTTTATTGATATACCCGAAATTTAGGCATCTTGAACTAGTTCGCTTTATAAAAATGACCTAAGAGGTCTTAAACTATTTAATAAAGTCGATAATAAGATTTATCTCCTATCTCTCTGCCTCTGTATCTGTAACTTGTGGAAGATGGGTTAATCCATAGCACATAGGCCTCTCTAGGCCGATTGTGCATCCTTCTAAGTAGATATTCACCTTCCAGCTCGTGAGTCAGCCTACATATTTAATAAAATTGACAACGTCGCCACGAGGTGCTTCTCTTATATCGACCGGTGTTGGCCAAACTGTGCTTAACACAATTTTTTTAATAAATGGGAGCGTCGAGCAATCGTAAAGGATATGCTTGACATTCTAATCTTCTTGTCCGCACTCCCTCTAGAGTGCGGATTCTGACAGACCCATGATATGGAGATGATTTCGTACTTGGCAATGATCAGTCAGAATACATGTGATTAGGCGCAGATTCTGTCAAGTCATATTCAAGGACTTGTTTGCTGTAGTGTTGTCAGCATAATTTAAAAACTCCCTGCAGATTCTTGTTTCATCCAGTCTTTCCTTGAATTTCATAAGGGAATGTTCTTTAGGTAGGTTTATCACTAGCGATGTTTTCAGTCCAATAGAATAGTCAGGTCCAAAAAGTATTTGCTTAGCTGCCTTTTTGGTTAGTAAATCAGCAAGACGATCACCTTTCGATGTGTTGTGATTTTTGATCCAACTTAAGTTGACCATATTGTTGATGGCTACTTTGGCCAAAGCTTTGTGAAATTGTAGTACTGATCCCGAGGAAGTCCCACAATAGATCTGAGAAGGTCGCGGTGGACAAGGAGAAATAATATCCAACTCCCTTTTAAATCTTAAAATCCTGAGGAAATTTGTGGTCTGTACAGGATGAATAGTGTTTGTTTGCTATCTGTATAGATGAGCATTGCTTGTCTGCTATCTGTATAGATCAGCATGTTTCTTCCAGCGCTATTATTTTTGGTGATTTATTTTGCTATGAGAATCCCCGTGAAATACTAACACTGGCACTACTTCTCACAGTCCATTTTATGTTTATATTTAAGTATCTGGAGTACATTTCATATCCTCAGCCTTGTTTTCTTTTAGAACCGACAGTGTAGATATGAATTACACCTGCCACTTACTGCTCTTCTACTTGTTCTATAAATTTATATGCCTTATGGAAAATATATTTAGGTGAGATAGAGTCCATGTTAGCTTAAACGAGCGCATCCTATCAAAAGCTACATCTCGCCTCACTATATCCTACATCAAGTTCTTTTTGAACCGAGTGGAGGCTTGTCATTATCATCAGGACAACCTTCTTTATGTAAATACTAAGAGAAGTGAGACAAAAAGTGACTTCCATGGTTCTGATGGGTGTGGTTTTCATAGCACCTATTATAGTGAGACATGCTGTTCTTTGAGTTTGTTCTAGTACGGTTTATAAAAATTACCTAAGAATTCTTGAGAAGTGCAAAATAAGAGAAAACAAAACTATTTAATAACGTTGACAATAAGATTTAACTCATATTTAAAACTTAAATATTTTTTAGGGTAAATGTCCGTATAGGAGATTACGATACTGAAAATGCTGTAGACTGTCAAGGAGGGTTGTGTAATAATCCCATAGATGTAGGAGTAGAGGATGCGTTTGCCCATGCTGGATATAACAATAACAATCAGCATAGATATAACGATATAGCTCTTGTAAGATTATCTAGAGAAGTCAAATTTACACGTAAGTATTTAGTAGATCAGCCACATCCTACAGTAAGATTTTTTTTGTATTTTTCGTATTTTTTTTATTATACTTCCAGGTCTCATTCTGCTTTGGAATCAGATTGAAGGTTTTATCTTTATGTGCATATTTCATTTTCTTTTTCCTTACATAACTCAATCTTTAATACTACTCTCTATTTCACATATTCTTCTAATGTTCTCATTTCTTCCATGTGAAATATTGTGTGTCCTGTAATGCGATGCATGTGTCATTTCTGTTATTTTTTATTCCACACTTTTTTGTCAATACTGATCATCCTCTTCTGATTATATACGTATTCGAGACATTTCTAGAGTAACAGCCTCCCATTGACTTTTATAGTCTTCCCTTTGGTCGTAATCTTTCTAAAGATTTTCAATTACTTTCTTTGACATATTTTCTCTGTTAGCCTTCCATTGTTCCTAGTTGCAACGTGGCATTTCCCATTTTCTCTTTAGCGTCGCATTTCTTTTAGTTATTTTTTTTTAATTTTTAATATAAATTTTTATAGGACATGGTCATATATATTTTCCCATATTCCTAATACCTGTTCACTTGTTTTATAAGCTTCCAGGTTTATTTGGACCATTACCATAACTATTATTTCTTTATATGTCTTTAATGAAACGCCAAAAAAATATTAAATATGTATTGTTTTGTAGCATTTATTCAACCGATTTGCCTCCCTAAAATCAACGAAGCTGCGACCGTTGGTGACAGAATGTCGGTAGCTGGTTGGGGTAGGACTGAGTATGCCAGTCGTAGCGGCGTGAAAATGAAGGTTGAGATCCCAATGGCTCAAAGAGCGCAATGTACTAGAGCCTTTGCTTCAGCTGGAATCAATTTGAAAAGCTCACAGATTTGCGCCGGAGGACAAAGAGGAAAAGATTCTTGTACAGGTAAAATAAAATTTGATTAAATCACCATCACAAAGTGATTTACATCCGCTTCTTGTTCTTGTATTCTTCTATTATTTAACATAGACGATTTAAAAACTAACTTAGGTGCATTTACTAAGCCAAAAACACGGATCTCAGACAGAGTTCCAAATATCAGTAATACATCATTGCTATAATCTGATATTCAAGGCCATTAGCTAATTGTAGATACTCAAAACTTCTCTCCTTTTTTGGCAATAATTGATGGTATTTTTTTTAAATTAATTTTTAGGTGACAGTGGAGGTCCTTTAATGACGACAGCTAAAGACGATCCATCGACTTGGTATCAAGAAGGCATTGTATCTTTTGGAGCAAGATGTGGTACCGAAGGATGGCCTGGTATATACACGAAAGTAGAGTATTTCTTAGACTGGATCCATAAAAATGTTCGACCATAGTGTTGTAGTTGTAATTTATTTTATACATTTTAATATAAGTATTTATTATTGTTTTTTCTTTTATTTCGAGCACAAATACTTTAAATGATTTTATGATTAAAACATTGGTTCTAAAAGCATGTTTTGTGAGTACTTTATGATATTGTAGGAAATGTGTTAATTTTCTTGAGTAAGTAAATTAGAACAGGATTTTAGATTGAATTTGAGGGAATTTGATCATCCATAAAATATAAAATCCTTCAATAAAAGTCAATAGACTAGAAAGTCTGATGTCTTTCTAAGTTTCTATATTAAAAACTAATAAGTAGTATTTAACAGAGTGCTTTAAATTGGTATTACTATTAAATTAACACATGAAAACTAGAAATACATCGATCAATTAACTGTAATAATTATTTAAAATCTTTTAACCTTTTTGCGTAAAAACAATCGTTTAATAAGCTATTTAGCATAAATTTGCTATTAACATACTTTTAACTTTTAAGTTTTTGTTATTCTCCTAAGAATCCGAGTCAGATATAAAATATTGTATATTACATAAAACTCCAGCAAAACTGTGCCAATCTTACAGGGTGTCCCATAACTAAAACAAATATTTCAATAAAAAATATTTGTAAATAAATTTCGCTACTATATTTGCATGCCCATATCTTTTTATTTTTGTCTATTTTCATTTATTCTTTGGTTCTAGCATTAGTTCCTAATTTTTCCTATCTTTAGCAAAATAGTAAGAAGAAGAAAAATAAAAAGAGACAGCCGAAGAAGAGAAATTGGTTACATTCTTCATTTTAAATCGCTAGCAGTGGCGTAGCAAGCCATTTTTCATGGAAGGGGTTTTTGACAAATATCGGGGGATTCCATAAAGAAAGTGAATAAAAACACTCAATAGCGATCAGCACCAATACTATGGCGGTAATGGTAACGCAGGGACCCTCTATAGGGGGGTTCTGACCCCCCAAATCCAGCCAGTGGCTACGCCACTGATCGCCAGTGCCCTGTTACTGAACCCGGAAACGTTTTGCTAGTTTTCTAAATTAATACATACTTGTACCCTGAGAGTAACGTTTGTTTAATATTAATAAAGTTTTGATATAGCTGAACTTACGTAAGTTTACTATGACTATGGTAAAAAATTATCATTTTTTAAGTTTATTAATTTTTTGTCCAATATTTTGAATCTCTGTATATATTAAAGATTTTTTGGTACAATTTTAATGAGCACAAAACTACGCAACTTTTGTCTAATTTAACCAACTCTCTATCTGCTACCGTGGGACTAAGCCGCTGTTCGCTCTCTAGGTCCATATTTTGGGTGGATCAATCCTATTCTCTTAGATAATACTCTTTAATTTTTCCCTATCCTATACTTTTTCTTGTTAAGTATTTACTCCTGCCTCGCGTAGGTCTTCGTTTACTTCTTTCAGCTATCCTGATCTGGGTCTTCCACGTCTGCTTCTCCTTTTGGGGCCCCATTGTAACATTGAATGAACCAATGTTCCATTACCTGCTCTCCAAATGTGTCCCATCTCTTTTTGTAGCTCTTGTTTAATTTCCTTATTTATTCTAATTCTATATTCTTCTTCTGTAATTTTTATTGGTCCTAATATTGCTCCCATAATTTTTTTTCCATAATTCTTAGATCTTCTTCCTCTTTTTTTCATACTCATTGTTTCTGATTATTGTGTTGTATATTTTCATATTTGTGTTTTGTGTAAGTAATTTGCTTTTAAGTATTTTTTTATTTGCGTGAGAGGCTTTATTTGTAGTGACTATTTCCAGTTTCCTATCTCCAGTTTTAGCTATTGTGATTCTCAAGTATTTAAATTTTTGCACTTCTTCGAATTCATGTTTTCATATTTTAATGCTTTTTTATGCTGCTTTGTTATTTAATCTCATTATTTTTGTTTTTTCTTAGTTTAGCTCTAGTCCCATAAATTTTCCTTCGTATACAATTTTGTTCAAGATGTTTACCATGATTTTTTTGTTTTTGGAATTATCACTGTGTCATCTTCATATGCAATGACTTGTCCTCCCTCTGTTCTCAGTGTTCCTTTATTAATTTTCCTCATCACATACTCTAATGAGAGGTTGAACAGAGTCCTTGATAGCGAATCTCCCTGCTTTATTCCTTTATTAATTATGAATTCTTCTGTCGCTCTTTTTTGTGTTTTAATGTTAATTTTTGTTTCTTGTATCATTGTTATTAAATGCCTTAACTTTGTAGGTATTCCTAATTTTTGTAGGACTAACTGCAGTTTTGTTCTTTTTATTGAGTCAAATTGAGCCAATAAAAAGCATTTCTAATTCTATTTTGTGTTCATACACCTTTTCCATTATTTGCTTTATTGCATGGATTGCATTTATAGTTGATTTCCTCTGTGTAGATTCACATTGGTACTGTCCTATCACCTTTTTTGTTGTTTGCGCTAGCCGTCTTTGTAGAAACAGCATTTATATCCCTATGAAATAGTAAAGACCGTATATAACTAGTAATAGAAAGCAAATACCTTCTCAAATTTTATCAAATTGCATTCATATTAACGATGGGTAGATCTTATTGCAAAATGGTACTTTTAGGTAATTTACATTTTTTAAATCTTCTGTGTAAACGCGATAACAAAAAACAAAACAATGGCAACTTTGTACCCTGTAGCCAAATTCTGAGTTTTGACTTAAAATATATAACTTATAAGGTTTGTTCCAACAACAATCTTAGAACCATACACAAACCAGTCCACAACTTATTGTCGACGACTGATAGTCGACGACCAGTCCACGACCTGTCGATGATTGAGACTGAATTCGGAACTTGGTTGTGTTGGAACACATGTTTCTGTTGTCAGACACACTATCAATAACGTAAAAGTAAAAAAAAACATTAACAGGTATTAAATTTTGAATTTGATAAATAAAAAAAATTAAAACTCATTAAAAGATTTATAAATTTTGATTATTCGATTGATTAGTACATTAAGTTATTTTATTTTTTACTGTATCTAAGTCAGAATAATAGTTCTTTTCACTTTCTACACTCATTACTCATAAAATAATATACTATAAATAATGATAATGAATAAAAACTAAATTACGATCGAGACTACGATCGATGATGCTATCAAAACGAATATAATCACATTTCCAGAGTTGGTCGTGATTTATTTACGAGTTAACTTTCGTTTTGCGCATGTCTTGACAATTCGTTCCTATTCTCACCTAGGAACTGATTTGACAGTACAGAAACTGGTTTGTGATTAGGTTTGAGTATGTTGGAACACTAGGTTTTTGTACAGTTTTGAGTCCGAGGTTTGTTGGAACATCAAATCTAGACTGCGCAGAATCCCGACAGTACGTAAACCAATTTGCTATTGTATTGGAACAAACCTATAGCTGCATACTAAATTTTATTTTTTTTTATATAGTGTGAATGAAGGCAAAATTGTTAAATTAAAAGCCATGTAGTTCAATATCAAGTTAATATTTTTTTAAACTGTATATAGATTGAAGTCATTGAAATAAACATATTTTTCAAATTACTTTTTTCAAAAACCTAAAACATAAAAATTTAAATCCGAGACTTTATTTTTGTTTCAGAAATTCAGTTAAATAAGACAATTGTTTATGTTTATGATGGTATTACCTTTTTTCGTTTTTTTTTTTATGTATGAATCATGCACCAGCTGTTATTGAAATTAAGTTGTATGGGTGATTTTAATAGTATCATTTCAATAGATTTACATGGCGAGTGTATCCAAGTCTTAGCACTTTTATTAATCTAACTTAACTGGATACGGATAATTTGTGGGAACATTGCAAAGGACATGTAGTAGTATGACTGATAAGATAAGACATAAAGGGCGTTTGTGTTGAGGAGAATGGATCGTATTAGATTCATTTTGTAATAAATGATTGTAAGTTCCATATTTTTGAAAAAGTTATTTGGTAAGTTGTTTATTTTAATGACTTTTAAGTGCAGTTAAAAAAAGAATCAATCATAATTCACCCTAAATATTTTGCTGACTATAATATTTGTAATATCTTATTATTGTATCAGATAAATTGTTAGAGAAAACTCAGATTTATTCGACATTTATTAGTAACTATAATATCATGATTTCATTAAATTTCGTCCGTTAATATTTATCGAATTTATTACTAACTTCTCTCAGTAGACATTAGACTTTTATGCGCATATTTAACTAATCACGAATGGTAAACACAGGGTAGTAAACACATTACAAAAAGCATGAAAATTTTAAATAGCTGATTTCAAATCATTTATTAAATTTTTTATGACAGATACACCATGTAGGCATTCCATCTTATAATTCAGGTCACCATGATAATATGCAGCTATTTATTATGATTGAATAATACCATGTTATAAATTGCATTTGTAATATAATTAAGCGTATTCCATCTTTAACTTGAAAATACACGTCGGTTTTCCCATTTATTTAAAAAAAAAATCAAGGCCAATATTAATTATAAAATTATTGAATTGAATATACTTCACAGAACTACTATTCCATTCAATAACAAAATAATGTTATCATTACTAAGTCGTCATGTATCTCAAGCTTGTAGTAAGTTTTATGGCTTTGAGCTTTATATTATGCAAAATTGCAGCAAGTAAGTAAAATAAATTTTGAGTTTTGCACCTATACATATTATATTTGTGCACAAACCTGCATACCTTTTGATATATTTACTTTTATGGTAATGTGATTTAAATGTATCTATTTCTACATACATTAGAAAGTATCTGTAGGTCTATATAAAAAATATAGGAGAGTTAGTTAAACAAATATATAATTTTTAAAAATGTTGAGTTCTCATGCTATATGATTTAATTGTATGCATTATACAATATACAATTTTTCGGAACGAAAATGGGTCAATTAGGACCAATTCCTCTATATTAGGCCAGTGTTTGATGGTTTTTCAACTCGAATTCTTTCGGATTAAATTTGTACAATAAGAAAGGAATGAGAAAAGTTATATAGTGCTGATGTGTGGTTTCACTATGGGATGTACCTTTTCTTGTGGGTGAAATTTAATAAACTTAAAAAATTGCAGATATCGATAGAATGAGGTATTTTAAGAAAAAAATGTAAAAAATTTTTTTTGATAAATTAATATTTTTAGGGTTGCGATGGTCTAGGAGTAGGGCATTTGTGTAAAGAAAAAATATGTCTGGTTTCGAATCGTACGCTGACAGGCTTTTTTTAATCTTCAAGTATGTGTTTTTACCTCTGTGGTTCGGGAATGGTCTTATCGTAGGGGGTTTTTGAGATTTGTTTCCAAATTTTCAAATTATTTCAGCCATTGTTATAGTAAATGATGATTTATAATATTGAGTTTTCATTAATAAAATGAATTCTTGACAGTGTCAGCCTTTACTTGATGAAAATCCAAATTATTAAAATGAGTAAAACCAACTATGGTAGATTTTCACAAACACTTTTATTTAAAAAATTAAATTAAAAATTTCACAATTTTTTCGAAGTACAACTTCTTCATTGCATTTAAAATATTTATTCACCTTTTATGAATATAAAATGTATACAATGGTATTTTAATAATAATACTTAACCTTGAATGAGTAAAACCAAATTTGGTAGATTTTCACCAAACTTTTATTTTAAAAAAATAAAAATTAAAAACACTACACATGACATGTTTCGAAGTACAACTTCTTTTTCAAATGTGACTAATTTACAATTCGGTATCCAATATATATGCGAAATAATTTTACAAAACAAAGTACTTAAGAAAACATCAATAACATAACGAAATAAACTAACTGTTTAAAGTAAATAAGGGTACTTAGGTAATTATGAGATCAATCAAATAACAATAAGACAGTAACATTACCGGGATTATCTCACAGAAAACTAGGAAAGAGATTTAGGGGCCTATTCAGTAACTCTGAACGACGTCGTTAATAGACGATAATCGTTCACAGACGACTTTTCTTATTCAGTAGACAACGATTGTCGTTGAAAATAGACCAATATGGTTATAAAATTGTCGTTCATCAACGATAGCCACAGAGCTGTCGTTAATAATATGAAGTGTCGTTATAGGGATTTTTGCATTCCCTCTCATTTTTCATTGTGAATCAGGATGTGTTCTAAATAATAGAAGCACTTTTTTTACAAATTTTACAACTAAATTGCCGTCTACCTAATACAGCAAGTACAATTTGTAAGGAATTTTTTCTAATTTATTTAATTATTTTAAAAATAAATCTGATTCAAAGTTAGAATTGTTTTTATTACAACTGACTCCTTGACATTCCATTTAGGTGTGCCTGATGATGAAGTGACAACTTCGAAACCGGTCGCCAATAAATTGACTTGTGAGAAATAAAGGACCTTTTCTTTAACCTTTACACTTAAAGTTAGGATTGCCCATTCGACCATTTACTATTGGATTTTTATTAACAGTGCTGTTCTTAAAGTAGCACTGCGAAACAGTAACAAAACCTATATTATGGAAGTACCTATTATAATAATACTTCTCCGTAACCTACACAGAAAACGAGGCTAATGGCCTGAGTTGTCGAAGCCGATGACAACAGAAAAGATAATCAGGAAAAAGGATTGATAGTATCAAATTTGGTTTCTCTTTCAAATCCAATATATACAACTTGTACTGTTCTCCAGTTGTTTTTTTTGTATTTTTTTGGAATAGTTCTCAGTTTTTTTTAATATATCTCTACTCATTTAAATAAACCCTACATACAATACGACCAGCAAAAATGGCTCGAAAATGGCCCGCGAGAAACAGAATTCCTACGAATCGAAAATCGACCCCTGATCGTGTTGTAGGTTAAGAACAATAATTAATATATTCTGAAAAACAAATGAATATATCTACTGGTAGAATTTTTATTTTACGTTCCAAAAAAATGTCAAATATACTGGGTGTTCAAATTAAAGTGTTAAAGTTAAATACTGCCTTTTATAAAAAAACGAAAGTTTTATAGTTTTTTGGGGAAAACATTTTGGCAAAATCGCGCAGCAAAATTTTCAAGTAGGTGTTACTCAATAAGTAGAAGTCCAATAAAAAAATGTTTCCTTTGAATTTTCTTATTATTTTATGAACTCTAAGAATACCTATGTAAAAAATAGGGATCCCATTAAAAAAAAAAAAAATCCACCTCGATATGGCCATATTATGGTCAGCTATAAAAAAAAATTAATTTAGCCAAAATGTTTCCTCCAAAAAAACTATAAAACTTTTGTCTGAAACTTTTTTTATAAAATGTATATTTTCGGCGATATTTAACTGTAACCATAGAAATACTGTAACACTTTAATTTAAACACCCGGTACAATCATCAACATACGTTCTTTTATCACAAAACACTAAATTATAATACCAACTTACTAGAAATCATCGTTCAGATTTGGTAACTAGAAACAACGTAACGACTTTGTTATTGAATAGAGTTTCAAAAATTATCGTTATAAAAGTCGTTGGTTGAACTGTCGTTAGCTTAACGATGTCGTCCATAAACGATAAATTACTGAATAGGGCCCTTAATAAGGGTAAGTTATTAATATCTAATTGATCATTGAGTAGGTTATCTGAATTTTTAAATCTATTTATTTCAAGTGTTTCTAAATGGTTTAGTTTATTGCCCTTATTTTCTATATGTAAAATTTCAAAGTTGTCTGTAAAAGAATGATTTTCAGCTAAAATATGATTTGAGTAAGTAGAATTATTTTTGTTTTTTGTATAGCTATTATAATGTTCGGAATAGCGCTTTTTGAAAGTACGGCCTGTTTGACCAATATACACTTTTGGACAACTACCACAATTTAATTTATATACCCCCGATTTATTATTAGGATTAATTTTACCCTTATTGTTTTTAATATACTTCCCAAGCGTATTATTGGTTTTAAAAGCTACGTTAATATTTTGGTTTTTTAAATATGATGATACCTTTTCACTAGGAGCTCCTATATATGTAAGACTCTTATATCTGCAATTTTGATCTTTAATTATGGGATAAACTAGTTGAATAGCATGTTTAAAAAGTTTTTTTCTCTTAAATGTTGTCTACTAACTTTGAATTAAAATTATTGTTTACTGCGATTTGTTTAATGATATTTAATTCTTTTGTGAAGTTCTCTTTGGTAAGGAAGGGGGATATTAACTAATCTATGGATCATACTGTTGTATGCTGCCAGCTTTTGTTTGTATGGATGAGATGAACTATTATTTATTGTAATATCAGTATGTGATGGCTTATGAAATATCCCAAAACTATGGCCTTTATTAATTTTAATAATATTTAAGTCTAAAAATTTAATTGAATTATCCTTCTGTTTCCATAGTAAATTTAATATTAGGGTGTATAGTATTGATAAAAACTAATAAAGAATTTAACTGTCTACTAGTACCAGTAAAAGCTGTCAGTATATTGTCAACATATCTATGCCAATAAAGACAATGTTTACTTAAATTATTGCTATGAATTTTATGTTCTATATTATCCATAAATATTTCTGCAAGCAACGGGCTTAATGGGTTCCCCATAATAAGACCTTCATTTGCTGAGTAGATGTTATTTTAAAATTGAAAATAATTTTGTTTTAGGCAAATGTTTAACAAATTTAGGATTTCTTCTTTGATAATAATATTGACTTGATTACGACCTAATAAGTTTTCTTATTCAACTAGTTTATCCCATAATTAAAGATCAAAATTGCAGATATAAGAGTCTTACATATATAGGAGCTCCTAGTGAAAAAGTATCATCATATTTAAAAAACCAAAATATTAACGTAGCTTTTAAAACCAATAATACGCTTGGGAAGTATATTAAAAACAATAAGGGTAAAATTAATCCTAATAATAAATCGGGGGTATATAAATTAAATTGTGGTAGTTGTCCAAAAGTGTATATTGGTCAAACAGGCCGTACTTTCAAAAAGCGCTATTCCGAACATTATAATAGCTATACAAAAAACAAAAATAATTCTACTTACTCAAATCATATTTTAGCTGAAAATCATTCTTTTACAGACAACTTTGAAATTTTACATATAGAAAATAAGGGGAATAAACTAAAACATTTAGAAACACTTGAAATAAATAGATTTAAAAATTCAGATAACCTACTCAATGATCAATTAGATATTAATAACTCACCCTTATTAAGGGGCCTATTCAGTAACTCTAAACGACGTCGTTAATAGACGATAATCGTTCACAGACGACTTTTCTTATTCAGTAGACAACGATTGTCGTTGAAAATAGACAAACATGGTTGTAAAATTGTCGTTCATCAACGATAGCCAAAGAGCTGTCGTTAATAATATGAAGTGTCGTTATAGTGATTTTTGAATTCCCTCTCATTTTTTATTGTGAATCAGGATATGTTCTAAATAATAAAAACACTTTTTTACAAATTTTACAACTAAATTGCCATATACCTAATACAAGTAAAATTTGTAAGGAATTTTTTTCTAATTTATTTAATTATTTTAAAAATAAATCTGATTCAAAGTTAGGATTGCCCATTCTTATTAACAGTGATGTTCCTAAAGTAGCACTGCGAAACTGTAACGAAACCTATATTATGGAAGTACCTATAATACTTCTCCGTAACC